TTTATTTTTTCCAACCTTGTTTTATTGTTGCCAAATTCTGTTTTAGCATGTCTACTTATTTGAAAGCATAAAAACAAGTTTTATTTATTCTTACAATAGCCTTATGATTTTTTGCTCAGAAATTCTTTGTTGTGTATTTACATATTTTATGGCATAAAACATTCATTTAATCTATCTTTTAAGTAATGAAAATTCAACAAATTAAATTTTTTGGAAAATAAAGGTAATTTATTAATATAATTTAAACATTGAAGAAATATTGTATGATTATTCCTTAAAAATAAGGTTTTAATAATTTTAGTAGTAGCAGCCTATTACATACATTCTACTGAACAATAGTAATATATTTCTGCCGCAATGCCTTCAGGTTAAACCAAACTTTTATTTTGACGGGTTGCCCTGGATACCTTTACATTTTTGTGTGTATATGATATGAGGATAGTTTTACTCAAATGAAATGGTCAAATGCTCATGAAGTGACTCACAGCAGTTCTGGAGATGAATGCTGAAATCACCGCGAGCGTCACGCGCTTCAGTACGAGTAGTAAACAAAACCGCTCGTCTGCGCCATACATAGACATGCAGAATTCATATTTAAATAGTCGTTTTGCGGCTTAATATTTACAAATAGTAGTGGGAGTGTGCGCACACGTGTATGTATGTGTGTATATATATATATATATATATATATATAATTTTTTTTTCAACTTTCTTAATGTAGATGTAAAGGCCAGTTTATAAAATGTCAAACTAAACAATATAAAATATTTTCAAACAATTGACTGCACCAAAGCTGTTCGCATTATTCAGTTTCAGTGCAAATATTTGTAATTGTCATAACGTCTGATGGTTCAGCAACCAAACAATAAAAAAAGATAAATATTTTGTGGTGATTTTGTTTTCCTTCATTTGATTGGGCTGATTAAATATTAGAAGTAAACAACCGTGGACTCAATAACTTTTATTGTATTGATAAAACACACACATTTTTCAAAACTGTAACACTTTAGAGAGCACATTTTCACTGTTAATCAAGAGTTAATAAACTCCTAATTGTCTGCTTATTAATAGTAAGGTTGTAGTAGTTATATTTAGGTATGGGGTAGGTTTAAGGGATGTAGAATATGGTCATGCAGAATAAGGCATTAAAATGTGTTTTAAAAGTACTAATAATTAGCTAATATGCTAGTAATCTATATGCTAATAACAGCTAGTTAATAGTGAATACTGTTCTCTACTGAAGAAACAAATGCATACCGGTTTGGAATGACATGAGGGTCAGTAAATAACAGAATTTTTAATTGTTATTTATATTAATTTTAAACTATACATTTGTTTAATAAAATAGTAATAATAATAAAAATAACTTAAAATACTGATACTTCAGTGCATTAACTGTGAGTTGACAGAAGTGTATTGTAATACTATACTGTGTCAATATTTTCCCACCACACCTAGTACATTTTGAACTTCCTTGTTGGGTGGATCTTCCATTTTGTCTCCCCACACCACTTATGCAGTGCATATATTTGCTCTGCTTAATGGTGGACTTGCTGTTATTGGGTTAACTAATGGAGATGTTGCGTTCTGACAGGCATGGATTCAAAACAAAGAAACACTAAGGCTGGTTAAGCATGATAATAAGCTGCTAGTATTGTCTCTCAGTAAATATGTGGAGACAACCGTCACAGTCTCTCAGAATGTTTCAGAGGACATGCGCACACAGAATGCACATCTTCATTTGAACCCTTTAGGCGCCAGGGTTTTTTGGAAAAATGCTGGATTTTGACGTCAAGATTTCAAAAGCTTGTGGCTTGAAAGGGCTTAAAGATAGAGATCTAATGTAAATTAGAAAAATGTTGGGCATGACCGAAAGTTTATGTGGGGTGTAAATATACTCATCTAATTTGCATATTATGACGTCATCAGGGGCCGGCCCTTTTGAATGTCATAATATTCAGGAAATAATAGATATTGAATTGTTTGAACTTATTTGCATGTTTTTTTTTTGTCTTTTTATCCTCATTCCAAATGGTCAGAAAAGAGGAAACCAAAAATAAAACAGAAGAAAGTACTAAATTATTACTATATTACTAGACTATAGTAGTGAAACGCATGTGAACAGTAGCCTACTTTTTGATCAGTTCATCAGTAATATTCAGGAAATAATAGATATTGCCCTGCCACCCCCGTTGGGCAAAGGATGGAAATGATCACTTGTTTGTGCTTCGTGAACACTCTCGCCTTGCGGGAGAAGCGCGATTATTAGCCGACCAATCGTCATTTCCAAAAGGCAAATATTCCTCTTCAGAGTCAGAATCGGTGAATAACATTTGCAACACATCCTCAAGGTACAACTTTTTATTAGCCATTTGGCGATTTTCTCTCACAAATCTCACAGCTTACGCTATGAACTGAACTGTTTCCACATCAATGACATGATGGTTCACTTGCTCTGCTCTTTCCTCAAACACTTTGAATAGGAAGGTGACGTAATTTTGGTCTAGAATCGAAGTACTACATGTCTGCCATCCTAGTGGTAGGGAATACAAATGAGATATTACACCGTATTAGGAACTACAGTCTATTTGATTAAGTATGACGTCTTGTCCCAATTGTGCGACTTTGGCGCTCTTGGAGATTTGTAAGTACAGTTTGAAGATATGTTAACTGAACCAATAAACAACTATTTTAGAGATTAAGGAGATTAAAGCAGCGTAGTTACTGTGCGTTTCAACTAGTTGGTTATTAAGGTGGACTAGTTTTAGTTTGTTCTGTTTGTTTTTTCTGACTGTATTATTTTAAGCAGTGGCTCCTCTCTCTAGGAGTTGCATCTCTAAAATTGATCTCTTTTAAGCACCGTCGGTGCAGTCATCACAACACTGCTCGGCTAATAAATCTCCCACCGTCAACACATTTCAAGTTAGACTTCACTTTTTAAATCACTTTGAGTGAGCCGTATTCCCATTATACTTATTATAAACATAATACATTTACCTAATGTCTCCTGTGTTTTTTGTTTTATAGATAGACTATGGTAGTTTTGGTAATTAAAGCTTTTATGTAGAATAGTGGTATTTTAGTACTATATATACTGTTGTATATATTGTATTCCTTATATTGTCTTTTTATATGGTCAGTTTGATTTAATTTAATTTATTTTTAATTTAGTCTTATTTTGTATTTCTGTTTAGCTTCAATTTGTATTTATTTCAATTTTATTTTTAATAGTTTTAGTTAGGGATGCACCGATACTGGTATCGGGCCTGATACTGAGCTCCTGTACTCGTACTCTTACTCGTTAAAATGCCCCGATACCAAACGCCAATACCACATGTGATAAGTGCCATATTCAGACAAAGAAACCCCGTCAACAGAACAACAGACAGCAGAATTGAGTTATTATTAGAAATTAAGGATGTCTACAAAGTATATGTATGCAATTAATATAATATTAAACATTCAGTATTAACGTCTGTATAGCTGATGTGCGCGAGCTGATAAGCAAAGCACGCTGAGTGGATTGTGCGCGTGGCTGTGCACATGCTCGAGCTTGTCGAGTTAATATCCCCTTCTCACAGACATCACTGGGAAGTTTGTAGTTTGGTCGGATATTGTAAAAACAAGTCAAACAATGCACAAGTTACGTTACTTAACGGTATGGAGAGAGAGAGAGAGCGCACTTCTGTTGTGTGATCTTTGATGTTCGCTCACTTAGCACACGCATCATTTCGATTAAAACTAAATCATAAATATAAAACAACATTTATAGGGGCATTCACTATAAACAACATTTATTTTCAACCTTAAGCATACACGACTTTATGGCAAAAGTGAAACTATCAGCCAGTGTAAATGCCAAGCGGCAACCTTCCGGTCTCTCGTGAAACCAACACGGAAGTGACTAAAACTGCAATTCATCGACTGGCCGCTAGAGGCTGACTTCAAAAGGGAGTCAGTCCCATAGTCTCCCCATGTTAAAATGCCCAACTTTACAGCAGGAAGAAATGTTTACAGCCTGGTACAAAAAGTGTTTTTGGTCTATATAGCTAATTTTGACAACTGTGAGGGGGGTGAATTTTTTTATAACTCATCCATTTAAATTATATTAAGCCTTAAAGTTCTGCATAATTAAGGGTGTGGCCACTTGAGTGACCGGTGGATTGCCGCTGCGGTCACCACCGTCGAGCTAGGTGGGCGTGGTTTCAGCAACCAGCTTCCGCCTCTTTGCCCATTTTCGATTATCCGGGAGTGAAGCGCGGTGACGCACTGCCAAGATGGCGATGGGCGGCTCCGCCTACTTTGAGCTTCAGAAACGCTCTTCGGAAACCTACGGGTGACGTCACGGACACTACGTCCATGTTTTTATACAGTCTATGGTAAATGCGCTAAGGCTGTACTTAGGCATGGGCCAATTACCGGTTTCAAGGTATACCGCGATTAAAAAATTTCACGGTTTCAAAACCGCTAATATTTTCCGTTATACCGTTCCTGCGGTATGCGCTGTTTTTCATGTCTCCCCGCCCCCTGGTTCTTCGTTCTGCAGTGAGGGGCTACTGCCTCAAAGACTGAAAGTGCAGGAATCCCTCAGGTTGAGTGAGAGTAACACGCCCTCTCCTCCTCCTCCTGTTGGTGCGAGCGAGCGTCAGTCACGTGTGTGTATGATGGCCGAAGGAGCTTCCTATAGAACTTACGCGATCGGCAAGCAGCCGTTTATTGTTTTATTGCAGCCGATCTCTGTTCTGGACTTGCACAAACTGCGTTGCAATGCATATCCCTTTACAAATGTCGTTTATGTGAAAATATGAAGTCCGTAAATGCCCGTTAACAGATGCCAGAGACGCTGAAGACGGATGCACAGAGAAAAATACTGTAGCAGGCAGATCACTCACTGAGCGCGTTTACTGTTCATGATGCGCAAACTATTGGAAGAAAATCCTAAATATTGATTTGGGGGTTTATATGAATGTGTTTCTCAGGGGAACTGATGGTCTTCAGAAACGTTTAGATGGTATTTTCTTTTCATCTCGTATAATTCACATTAAAGCAGTGTTTCAGCGCAGCTCTACTTTGTTTACTGCGATAACCAAGGAAAGCTGTATCAGCGCCTCCTGCGGTCAGAGAGTGAATCTGCTTCTCATTCAGAGCTTCTGCTGTTTGTTTCGTTCAGGCATGTAGTATCATTTCACAAAGCTAATCAGAACATTCTGTTTTTGCTTAAAATTGGGTTATTATTAAATCAAATAATGATATAACTAATTTGATATGAAATGATATGTATATGAATTATAACTCAAATTAAATAACTGTAATTACAGATTTAGGTTAAATAAAGATGTCAGTCTTTATTTTTCTTCTTTTTAGGGCAGCAGTTGCTCTAGCAGCAAATCAGCCATTCACATCAAAAGCTGCAGGACAGCCCACATTTCAGAAACAAATCAAAGAAAAAATAAACAAATACTACTGTTCCAAATATTGTGTATGTTGCTCAAAATATATTGGTCAGCTTTTTTTATTTATTTTTTATTTTTTTAACCAGACATTTCAAATTAACTCATTTTAGAGCTGTAACAACAATACCGTGAAACCGTGATATTTTTGCTTAAGGTTATCATACCGTCAAAATCTCATACCGGCCCATGCCTAGCTGTACTGTACTTGTCCCTCTCATTCTGCACCAATACAAATACGTGTGCGCATTGCGCATGTTTTGCTTGCTTCATGAGGGTTTCTGTATTATGTGAGTCACTTTGGAATATAAATCGCAGCACGTTTCAGATGAAAAAAAACGCTACTTATATTTCTGAAAGATTTATAATGAGTGGTTCCCTGCATTATTACAGCAAAACGCATGATTACAGTTCTGAGCCGCTGCAATGGAGCAGCTCTAATGCTATTAAATTAAAGATGATGTACCATAGAGCAAAAAATTAACAGAGAAAGTAACTAAAACTTGTAAAATATATTTTAATGGGCATAATTAAGTGTGAAAATAACTGAAGGATATATATTTGATAAATGAAGTTAACCTACTAACATTACACATATTCTTTTGATTTCTGTACCCAATATTTAAAAAAATGTACAAATACAATGAAAATACCGGTATCGGTACTTGGTATCGGCAAGTTTTTGAACACATGAACACATCTTATTTGAACGTCTCCTAAGAAACACGTCTAATCGGTGTCTGGTGGACCATAATTACACAGAGCTTTCTTAAGACCGACTCGTCGTTCAGACAACACAATGAATAATTGTAATGAATAGAAAACAATATTTTGCACATTTGTAATTCTTAAACTCGAGGACTAAAAGTTGTTCATTCAGTTCATGTTGAGAATTGTAGTTACTGATTGCACCAAAATTGTGCATTCAGTTGGTCAAAATATAAAATCTATTTTTGTGGTGTTGAAATGCATCGTCGCAGTGTGTGAAAACCCCTTTTGAATGACTTTCTTCTGTGGAACAGAAAAAAAAAAAAACATAATATAGACCTTTATGACCTGCGCACTATTCTTATATTATATTCTTATTCTTATAGCGATATTTTTGATCGCTATCAAGTACAGTTTTTGTTTAGATGGGAAGAGAATGAATAGTGCTTTTTCGTTTCATTATTGAAGTGAATTGTCCTTGAAGTTAACATTGGTACAGCTCTTTCTCTGACTCAAATCTCTGTGTCTGCTCACCTTCAGGTAACAAAGCAAAAGGACTACAGTGGGTAATTGATGTGACCATAGCCTACCCTAATGCAAGACCCATGGACATTCAGACATGGATTTTTGGTTACAGGGATCCAACAGTAACACATGTACACTACAGGTAAGAACTGTTCTGTAATATAGTTTTGTATCTGCAAATGTCTCAAAGGTAGGGGTATGCAATATATATCGTCTGCGATAATATCGTAATTGTTGCTTTAACGATGTGCAATTTGACATTGAGTATATCGCAAAAACCAAACAAAACACATCTACTAAAAGCATCTGCTAAATGACTAAATGTAGAGTGCACGTATTCATTACGTGAAGTCTAGTAGGTTAGACAAGTGCGTATGCGGCTGTGCGCACTTAGCACGTGCGCGTTCTTTCACTGCATGATTCAGTCTATTAAAATCCATTTAATGATCACAAAATTCAAGATATGGTGGCAGAAAATGTATATATTTATACCATTCCATATAGTTAATCAATATCACATGAAGAATGCAGTTTTTTTTTATGATTACAAATGTGATATGGATTTTTACAACCGTTCACTAAACAAGAAGTTAATTAAGAGATTTGACAGCATATTGCCTGTTTTTGCTCAATTTCGCCAACAAAAATAATAGCAATATCCGAACACAGCCACAGCACTGTTTTGCGTCTCAACATGACTGTGTTTCGTTCCTGAATGAATCAGCCGTTTAAATGATTCGGTTCAATTGCAATGACTCACTTATTAATAGTGACTTCCTGCGACCTACTGGCACTTTTAAAAGTATTTTCACATTTAAAAGTATCTTCATTTTTTTTATTATTTCAAACATCTGTTTTCAATGTTTCATGTTTAAAATTTCAAAACATCTGTTTTCAATGTTTCATGTTTAAAATATCAAAACATTATTAAGTGTTCCATGTCCCTCTGAGCTGCGTTAAACAGTGTGACATCTAAATGGCACTTCAGATGCAGCTTCTGTGTTTCCTCTGCATTGCAAAGATAAACTTTGTCAATACTGATTTCATTTGCTTGGTAACAGCCAAGCGGCAACCTCCCGCTCTCTCTCGTGAGGCCAACACGGAAGTGACTTAAACTGCAATTCATTGACTGGCCGCTAGAGGCTGGCTGCAAAAGAAGTCAATCCCATAGACTCCCCATGTTAAAATGCCCAACTTTACAGCAGAAAAAACATGTTTACAGCCTGGTTCAAAAAATTATTTTGGTCTACATAGCTAATTTTGCCCTTCATGACAACTGTGAGGGGGGTGAATTTTTTTTTATAACTCATCCGTTTAAATTATATTATTAAGCCTTAAAGTTCTGCATAATTAAGGGCGTGGCCACTTGAGTGACCGGTGGATTTGCCGCTGCTTTCACCACCATCGAGCTAGGTGGGTGTGGCTTCAGCAACCAGCTCTCGCCTCTTTGCCCATTTTCGATTATCCGGGAGTGATGAGTGGTGACGCGCTGCCAAGATGGTGACGGCCGGCTCCGCCCACTTTGAGCTTCAAAAACGTTTTTCGGAAGTTCATTTGCTTGGTAACAGCCAAGCGGCAACCTCCCGCTCTCTCTCGTGAGGCCAACACGGAAGTGACTTAAACTGCAATTCATTGACTGGCCGCTAGAGGCTGGCTGCAAAAGAAGTCAATCCCATAGACTCCCCATGTTAAAATGCCCAACTTTACAGCAGAAAAAACATGTTTACAGCCTGGTTCAAAAAATTATTTTGGTCTACATAGCTAATTTTGCCCTTCATGACAACTGTGAGGGGGGTGAATTTTTTTTTATAACTCATCCGTTTAAATTATATTATTAAGCCTTAAAGTTCTGCATAATTAAGGGCGTGGCCACTTGAGTGACCGGTGGATTTGCCGCTGCTTTCACCACCATCGAGCTAGGTGGGTGTGGCTTCAGCAACCAGCTCTCGCCTCTTTGCCCATTTTCGATTATCCGGGAGTGATGAGTGGTGACGCGCTGCCAAGATGGTGACGGCCGGCTCCGCCCACTTTGAGCTTCAAAAACGTTTTTCGGAAGCCTACGGGTGACATCACGGACACTACGTCCATGTTTTTATACAGTCTATGGTAACAGCCCAAATGTCTTATTATTCTAATTGACTGATTAAATGTAACAATATGATTCAAATGGTAATGCACACTTGGAAAAAATGGCTTTATAAAGGTAAAAAATGCCCATTAAAGGTAAAAATCTATTTAAACGTATTGGAAAATATTAATTTCTATCAGTGCTGTTAACTGATCACCACACAGAATATGAAGAATATCAAAAACTTTAGGAGTCAGCTGCTTGAGATACCAGCACAATAACACACTCAGCAAAATATTGTCGTTATTGATAAAATCCCAGAAAATATCAAGAGATCATTTTTTGTCAATATCGCACACCCCTACTCAAAGGTCTAAAATCTAACTTTAAATTAGGGCTGGGCGATATGGCCCAAAAAATTATCACAAACTTTTTCATATCAGATGATATCGAATTTCAAATCTTTATTTCTTTCAAGTTTAAAGGCAGATTTTTGTAGTCAAAGTTGTAGAAACCAGAACGTAAATTGTGGTTTTAAATTACTCTTTATGGTCAGGACATGACACAAACTTAATGTTTTAGAATTCTTTGCAATTTTACAGTTGTTTTTCCTTAAAAAATGTGAAAATAGAGAAATGTATTTCTTTGTTATTGCATGTCCTAATGAGTGATACTAAATCATGAAACAGGTTTGTGTTGCCTGAGTTGATGACACGTACCTAGCACAGCTTGCAGTGCAGACTGCAATATTAATAATATTTAGTTTTGTTTTGTTTGTCTCTTAGAAATTCGCATTTGATGATAGTAGTAGCTTGAGTTAGGATGCAGATGGAAATGTGTTCATTATCAAAAACCATAACATCTGTAAAACTTGTAACAACCTAATTTTTATATGGTAATTTAATTTAATCTGACTGTTTGAGTTTTATTAACATTAACCATTGGTCTTCCATTGTAGTATACATTTGGATCATGATAACCACAGTTAAAACTACACATAGCATGTTATCAATACCATGATAATATATACAGTGGGGAAAAAAAGTATTTAGTCAGCCACCAATTGTGCAAGTTCTCCCACTTAAAAAGATGAGAGAGGCCACTGTATGTATGTATATATATATATATATATATATATATATATAATGGTTTCCATGTATTTGTATTTAAAATAGTAGTCTAAATGCATAAACTCTATAGCTTAATCACAAAAAATACTGTAATTACTGTAATAGACTAGGGGTGCTCCGATCAGGATTTTTGAGGCCGATCACAGAAAGCCGTATCTGCCGATACCGATCACCGATACCGATATTTTAAAAGCCGCCTTTTGTCATTTATAACTATTTATAGTGATACTCCAATCAGGATTTTTTAGACATTTATTCAGGGCTTGAATTGCATTTTTGAAATTGGGGGAATTCCCCTCTTGGGTGACTCTTTTGAGAGGGGAAGCAGCTTTCACACAGGAGACCGCTACTGATCCGTGGCTATTTACCACAAACACAACATTTATCCATTATTTTGATTTCAAATCCAAACATTGTCACTGGAAATGCTTTTTCAGATTTGCAATTCTTTTTTTTACACAGTACAGTAATACAATCTTTCACAGACATGTTTAAACACAATAAATATAAGCAACATTATTCAATGCATTTTAATTTTGCATTTACTTCTAGATTTATATATTAAGTTGTTCAAGCAAGTGGCAAAACATTTAAACTACTTTTCTTACATTATCACAAACTTACCATTGACAGAAATAGTCAGCTCTAATTAACCTTTATAAAAAATCTTTATTACCATCTAAAGTGCCATCTATTTTTGCCGTGTTTAAGTGCTCTTTCCCTTTAAATCTAGCCAAAAAGCCATGTGTTGACTATGAAACACAGTAGACTTTAATTATATGCATTTATGGTGTAATTACTACATTTTCGTGTCAATCCATGTTCATATTTACTGCAAACAATGCGCTGTCACTTTAATTCAGCGCTTGCAGCGCAGCAATAGAGTCGGTGCGGAAACGATCTCTGCACTGCTGCAGTGCAGACGCACCGCTCCTGAACGCACTGCCAGGCCGCAGCTGTGTGCAGTGAACGCTTTAATCCGTTAACATAAGCGCAAACGGAGTAATGTGAACTTGGCATTATGTGTGTGCGCTGCGAGTGTGTATGAGCGCACGGTCTCCAGGAGAGCGTGCAAGCGCTGAATGATCTGGATGAAGTGAAATAGACATTTGCATATTTTGAGAGAGAAAGAGAGAGCGCGCGAGAGTGGTGACTTACGCTGTTTGTGAAATTATGTCTCAAACGAGGTTTTCAAATGACTTTATAAGTTATTTAATGAAGAAATATGAAGGTAAGTACCTCACCTTCAGCATTATAATTATTTCACCCGTGCCGGACAGAGACTGAGACGGTGACGCTGCATGTCGACCTTATCCTTAATTCTTGGGATTTAAGAATCGATATCGTTCCGTAAAAATGAGAATCGATTAATATCGAGATATCGATATTTTTTTACCCAGCCTTACACAATACCATGGTTCAGTTAGTATTATTACAGTAAATCCATGGTAAATGATGGCGATTTGTAGATTGAAAAGCCTTCTGACTGTATCTTTGCCAGTACCTGTCCAGAAGTACAGACTATTTCACTGACATTGCTCTGGAAACAAAGCAGAATGTAGAGTTTAGCTCTGTGGATACAGAGTCTACCAGGTCACTGAAATTCCCCTGAAACAAATCTCTGAGATACAGAGAGGTTTAATTGGTTTGGTGGAAATGCTCCATTTCAAGCAAGACTTACGGAGCCTCTAGGGAACGTATCGCAATCCTCAGCACATTAACGTCACAGTTTACGATTACATGAACTATCTTGGAAATATCGGTTAAGTCCTTGTTTTATCTGTGTCAGAAGGATTTTTATACTAGGTACCTTAGTAGCCTATACCGAATAACATGTCTATGTTTGTGTTCAATTACAATCGTTTCAATAATTTTCACCTGCTTCACCAGGAAAAAAGGCTTAATTTCATTTCATTTGCAATAACAAAAAAAAAAAGGGTCAAAGGTTGCGGGTTCGAGTTTCGTACCGGCAAGGATTGTAGGTGGGGGGGAGTGAATGTACAGCGCTCTCTCCCACCTTCAATACCACAACTGAGGTGCCCTTGAGCAAGGCATCGAACCCCCAACTGCTCCCCGGTCGCCGCAGTAAAAAAAATGGCTGCCCACTGCTCCGGGTGTGTGTTCACTGCTGTGTGTGTGCGCACTTGAATGGGATAAATGCAGAGCACTAATTCCGAGTATGGGTCACCATACTTAGCCACATGTCACATCACTTTCACTACTGAAAATTATATAGCTCAAATGAAAGCTGAGTATTCATAAACATTTTTGTGATGGCATACAGTGCAAAACAGTACGTTTTTTTTTTCAGTCTATTCTGACAAGACTTTTGCAGTTCTCACAATTTTAACAAAATCATCCTGAGTTTTGAACAAAAAGAAAGAGTTTGTAAAACCTTCAAACATGGCATTACGAAAGCTTGTGGGATGCATCAGTAACGTGACATGACAAACGTGTGCGGTGCTGATCTTTATGGAGCTGTATGTCCTCCTAGTGTGATCTGATGCACAGATCTGTCCTATAGATGGTTCTGGGTGTCTCGGGTGACTTCTGTTCCCAGGCTCTTGTCTCATGTTATTGCCAGGCATTTTCTGGAATTTGTCCCCGAGGGCCTTATTACTCCACACCTATTGATTTGTGTGTGGTAGATGGAAAGTGAGCTATAGATGTACAGTATGGATGGATGGATGTAAATTAATGAGTGAACAGCTTTGGTGGTACCAGAGATTTAGAAAGTAGTCATAATAATAGTAATACATAGAGTTCTCTTTAAGTAATATATGACGGGAAAGATTATACACTAAATGTCCATACATGGTCAATAGGGGTTTTGCATTAATTTCCCCCATTTTTGAAAGGGGTCATATGATGCGATTTAAATTTTTCCTTTCTCTTTGAAGTGTTACAAGCTCTTGGTGCATAAAGAAGATCTGTAAAGTTGCAAAGACTAAAAAGTCTCAAATTCAAAGAGATATTCTTTATAAAAGTTAAGAGTCAGCCACACCTACCTAAAACAACTCGTTCTAACACGCCCCCACATATCTACATCACTATGTGGGAAAAGTTGCATAACGCCGCCCAAATGTTCACGCAAAGAAAGAAGGCGTAACATTTATTCTCGCTGTAGTATTGTTGTTACCGCCGGCGCCATGTTGTGAAGACACTGTGTTTCGTTGTGAAAGCGAAACTACTTTGTTTGGCCTTCCAAAAGAGGACGATATCCGCTTCGTCATGCCTAGAGCTGATCCGTGCTGGTCGCTGAGGAAATACATCAACTTCGCGCTGTGGATCGCCAGATCGGCTTTCACCGTAGACAAAGCGGAGTCCAGCCCGGGGTCGTCACATGTCATGCCTAGAGCTGATCCGTGCTGGTCGCTGAGGAAATACATCAACTTCACGCTGTGGATCGCCGGATCGGCTTTCACCGTGGACGAAGCGGAGTCCAGCCCGGGGTCGTCACATGTGAAAGCGAAACTACTTTGTTTGGCCTTCCAAAAGAGAACGCAACTAGAAATCAGTGGTTAAGTTGTATTTACAACACTGTTCCAGAACACTTCAACCCAAATGTTCAGATGTGTGCAGCACATTTTATGGAGGACTGTTAACTGATCCTGGGAGAGTAGACTACAATGCGAGTAAGTATGTTTTTTTATATTTAAAGGATTTGCCACTGATGATTCAAACACGAGTTTTGAGCAGTGTAGAGTAGCGCTTGTTGTTTGTCATTTCTCCGATCACAAATGCAGACATGGTTTTATGTTTACACGGCGCAATGCAACGCGTAAAGACAGTATAAGTCATTATAATCCGTAATTATGTCCCCACTGGATGCAACAAATGCCTCGTTTATAATGGGTTTTCATGTTTTTGAATCATCGCTCCGGCCTGACAGGGCATCACAGTATGGTAGGGGCGTAACATTTCCATCACACGCTTGAGGTATTCGGTCAATCACAACGCACTGGATAGCTGGCCAATCAGAGCACACCTCGCTTTTCAGACCGATGAGCTTTGTAAAAATCGAGGCGTTTCAGAAAGGCGGGGCATAGAGGAGAAACAATAATGTACAGTATGTGGAAAATAATGTGTTTTGAACCTTAAACCGCATAAACACATTTCAATACATCAAATACACAAAATAATGATCTTTTTAGCAACATCATATGACCCCTTCAAAATATATCTATAAATAAAAATGCTGTTCTATTCATCAAATAACCTTAAAAAGGTTTACACGAGTTTGAAGAGCGTGTGGGGAAAAAGATTTAGGTCACGGAATTGATCATACGGATTGGTCCGTCATATGTAACAATTTGTTCTCTAAATGTACTTCATTGGGGATTCACGAACTCAATTATAAATTCATTAACAGAGTTTACCTTACACCTTTACGTTTAAAAAATATTTACAGAAACTCCTGATTTTTGTTTTAATTGCAAAAAATGCAAAGGAACATTCCTTCACTGCTTCTGGTATTGTGACAAAATCTTTTCTTTTTGGACTAAAGTACATCATTTTTTACAAAGTCTTTTTAAGTTGAAATTCTGTTTTTCTCTGGAATTGTATTTGTTATACAGTGGAGTGGAGACTGTGTTTGACTTCCACACCAAACAACTGTTTCTAATTTTGGTTTATCTGGCAAAGAAATGTATATGGTTACTTTGGTCATCTCCTCAAGTACCCTCTTTTAAAATGTGGTTGTCTCTTAATATCTACATTACTTCCATTTGAGAAACTCACCTTTGATATACATCAAAAGTCTAATGCTTTTTGGCAGATATGGACACCTCTCTGGTGCTACATTAACAACCTCTCTTGATCTTCTATTCTATGGTGCATATTTAGCCTCTAGCCTGACTATTCACTTTTCTACCTGATTGAATGCTTCTTATTGTTTTCCATTGTATAGCTGAGACTGTACCTGTATGTTTATGTGCAGTAGAATAACCGACTAATAAAAAAAATAAAAAAGGTTTACACGATAATAATCAGCAATATTAATAATAACCGGAATATTCAATATCAAAAAATGTGTTTTGAGCATCAAATCAGCATATTAGAATGATTTCTGAAGGATCGTGTGACACTGAAGACTGGAGTAATGATGCTGAAAATTCAGCTTTGCATCACAGAAATAAATTTCATTTTAAAATATATCCAAATAGAAGTTTTTATTGTAATACTATTTTACAATATTGCGGTTTTACTGCATTTTTGATGATAGATATGTACTTCACTTTCGATTAACAACATATTTGTAGTAGTTTTTACATATCAGTCTTTATTCTCACATCAGCTCATTTCAACCTAATTGAATATCCTTTTGATAAGCAGTATTCTGCTTATGTAAATGTATTAATGTAAGTTTTTGAAAAAAAAAATTGTACCAATGGAAGGTTGTTAGTTAAGGAAACAGTAAAAAAAATGCAGTTGCAATTTACAGTCTCTCAGTAGTGATGCACTATCATAGCCTAATGTGAATCTACTGTATTGAACTTGGTTAAAAAATGACTAGTACAGTAATTGAGGGAAGTCGACTGTTTCTTAAACAAAGGGAAAAGCAGAAGCTGGAACAGTCAGGAAACTCTAGTTTCACGATGTTGTAATATTGTGCCCAATCACATCCTCGCTGTACTGTTTGTTTTCGTAAGACACGTTTGCAGTCAGTCGTGTGTTTGTACGTCTCAGCTGTCTGTGCAGAGCTCGGCCAGTGTTTGAGCAGAAAACTGCTGTCATCAGATGAGGCGTCTCATCAGCACAAACGCTGAATCTGTCACGCTGCTCGCGGCTCAAAGCCTAAAGAGCTGAGCTCTCCACTTCACCGTGCTAACTGCGGGAGATCTGATGAAGACTGAGAATCGGGATCATTTGTGCTCCATGCTCATCTGTTTTTTCAGTGCCTGTTTGATTTTCTCCTTCAAGCTGTCTTCATTGCCTCCCTAAATTACCTTCTATGCTGTTTTATGCTTTTTATACTGTTCTCATTTAATCAGCCCCTCTGTCTCAGTGTGTTTAACATGCTAACTTTACTCCCAACCTATCAATTTGGCTTCTTTTTTTTTTCCCTAAATGAAAGAACAGGACAGTATTGGGTCAGGAGGGCAACATTCGCTCAACATGTCTAAACTGGTTATAATAATAATAATAATATTGTAACAGGATAATTACTTTTATTAACAAAATGTTTATCCAAATGTACAGATAAACTGTGAATTAATGGTTAAAATATATTCAGTACTGTGTATACAGTAAACACAGAATCTATGTTGTTAAATATTATTATTATTATTATTATTATTATTATTATTATTGCTCACTATTACATTTAATAATATTAGTATTTAATTAACAGTTAATTAACAATTTGATTTACTATTTATATTTGTCATATTTATTTATTATTAATCTTGCAAACGAATGACTTTAGTCTCTAGAATGCTGTAATTGACCAATGGTCAGTATAGTTTTATCATTTTGCTTTTGAATGTTTCTCAGTTCTGTATAACACATTCTTATTTGTTATATTTTTAGGACATACCCCATAAAGGACGTCCCAGTAGAATCAGAAGCGCTGGCAGATTGGCTATATCAGCGATTTGTGGAAAAGGAGAAACTTCTGGCTCACTTCTACAAGACAGGTAGTTTAAATAACGATCGAATTACTAGAGATCTAGTTTCCCCAATCTATTGATTTGTACATGTTCATCCTCCAACTAGAACCAAACTTGCTGACAAGTCTCCATCTTTCCTTCATCTCGCAGGAGTATTCCCTCCACTAGAAGGCCAAAAAGAGGTGGTCTCCCGAAACATGACCCTTGACAACGTTTGGCTGTTTTTCGTCCAAACGTTCGCCTTCGCCTCAGGCTACATGTGGTACAGCATTCTACATCACATCTACTGCTGGTTCTTCTGACCGCTCTGAGGAGAGCGTAACGTGCCGGATGGAGGAGGGAATGCCAGAGACCAAGAGCCCTGATTGCCATTCTCCTCTGCCGGATGGTTGAATGTACCCCGCAGGACGACTCCAGTTGCTATATCCGATCGCGGTCCAGACACATCCACCCAATCCCAGCTGCCCGTGCAGACATGCGTTTATCCTTTAGATTTGCGTAGAACCAGTTCAACATGTTTACACATGCGCGCTCACATGCAGAGAGAAGATTATGCACATCTAAATGTTTACTCATGCGTTTTTTTTTTTTGTTTAACTTTTGTTTTTACTTACAATCAAAATTAGGCTCAGGAATAAGCCAGACATAGATCTGTCACGTCCTGCCACGTGAGCTCCCCCCTTTTTTTATCGTTAACTCCCAAACAGGATGACTGAAATTTTTTTCAGAGACCAATGTCCTCTTTGGAAGAGACTCCTCTGGCCTTCATTGCACTATGAATCCTTGTCGCCCCCCCCCCCCAACGGAAGACCCTCGGTTGTGTGCTGCCCTCATGTCATTTCTT